AACTGAAACTTCATAACAATTAAATAATATCTTCTTTCCTCTCCTGCTAACCCTGGGTAACCTCCATTCTACTTCCTGTCTCTGTGATTTTGCCTATTCTAAATACACTAATAAAAGACAAACATGCAAATTGACTGTACCTTCACTACGCCTTAAGCCATGCCCACCAGCCAATCAGCAACGATATGCAAATTAACCCAGCCAAGATGGTGGCCGGCAGCCACGGAGCTGGAGCAAGCAGGAGGCTTGGTTGCTCCAGTGATGGAGGAAGCCAAACTTCCTGCCTGCCACGGCCGGCTCTGAGCTCCACTCAAGGCAACAAAGTTTCAATTATAGAAGATAAATAAACCCCAGATACCTGCTTTCAGCCGGCTGTGGCCACAGAGCTGGAGCAAGCAGGAGGCTTGGGTTGCCCCTGGCGATGGAGGAAGCCAAGCTTCCTGCCCCTCCCTGGCCGGCTCTGAGCTCCCCTCAAGGCTACAAAGTTTCAATTATAGAAGGTAAATAAATCCCAGAATAAAAAAAGGAAAAAAGGAGAGGCTGGTAGTTTCTGTCACTGGGGGCTTGGCCAGCCTGAAAATGGCCCTCAGCCCCTCACCCAGACTGGCCAGGCACCCCAGTGGGGACCCCCCACCCTAAAGGGGGTGTGGCCAGCCTGAAAACAGCCATCAGCCCCTCACCCAGGCTGGCCAAACCTCCATCGGGTGAGGGTCCCCACTCGGGGGGGTGGGGGGGGCGGCTTGACCAGCCTGCAAACAGCCATCAACCCCTCACCCAGGGTGGCAAGGCACCCCAGCGGGACCCCCACCCTGATCCAGGACACCCTTCAAGGCAAACCAGCCGGCCCCCACCCGTGCACCAGGCCTCTATCCTACATAGTAAAAGGGTAATATGCAAACTGACCATAACAGCAGAAAGACTGGGAATGACTGGTCACTATGACACACACTGACCACCAGGGGGCAGACGCTCAATGCAGGAGCTGCCCTCTGGTGGTCAGTGTGCTCCCACAGGGGGAGCTCTGCTCAGCCACAAGCGAGGCTGATGGCTGCCAGTACAGTGGTGGTGGTGGGAGCCTCTCCTGCCTACTTAGCAGCACTAAGGATGTCCAACTGCAGCTTAGGCCTGTCCCCATTGGCAAGTGGACATCCCCCAAGGGCTGCCAGAGGGATGTCTGACTGCCAGCTTGGGCCCGATCCCCCAGGGAGCAGGCCTAAGCCAGCAGGTGAATATCCTCCGAGGGGTCCCAGACTGCAAGAGGGCATAGGCTGGGCTGAGGGACCTCCCCTGAGTGCACAAATTTTTGTGCACCGGGCCTCTATTCTCATATAAATGAAATCAAACAGTATTTGCCCTTTTGTCACTGGCTTATTTCACTTGGCATAACACCTTTTTTTTTTTTTTAATATATTTTATTGATTTTTTACAGAGAGGAAGGGAGAGAGATAGAGAGTCAGAAACATCGATGAGAGAGAAACATCGATCAGCTGCCTCCTGCACATCTCCCACTGGGAATGTGCCCGCAACCAAGGTACATGCCCTTGACCGGAATCGAACCTGGGACCTTTCAGTCCGCAGGCCGACGCTCTATCCACTGAGCCAAACTGGTTTCGGCGGCATAACACCTTTAAGGAAGGATACAGCATATGAATACTTAGCATAATGTCTTTAAGAAAATGACTGATTTAAAAGCTAGGGCAGACCTATATATATTTTTCTCTTTTTAAAAAGTTAAATTTATTGCTATAACACTGGTTAATATAAATTTTAGGTGTACAACTTTGTAATACGATATCTGTATACTCTATTGTGTGCTCACCACCTCAAGCCTAGTCTCTTTTTGTCACCGTAATATCTGACCTCCTTTACCCTCTTTTTCCTCCGCCCACCTCCTTTCCCCTCTGGTAACCACCATTCTGTTGTCTGTATCTATAACTTTGGTTTTTTTATTTGTTGCTTTTTGTTTTATATCCCACATATGAGTTGAAACTATATACAGTTCTTGTCCTTTTCTGACTTATTTCACTTAGCATAATACACTCAAACTTATTTTTTCTAATGAACCTGGAATAGCTTATTCTAGAAAGTAAGGAAGTGCTCAAAAAAAAATGTTGGGGACATATCCAAGGGACATAGGAGCTAATTTGAAAATGTTTCCAGTAGTAGCCAAACCTGGGATAATTTGAGCATCAAAATGAATAGGGACAGTTATGAATTATAATTTTCTGAATGAATTTTATACTGATGATAAATAGGGGAGAAGGGAAAGCTCCTTTTTACAGTAGGATGCCAATTAATAAATGTAGAAGAAATGATAGAGTTGGGGCAGGGGGAATCACCATTTCACAACCTCATAGTAATGATTGAGGGAAAAATCTTCAATGGATGCTAAAACTAGGGAATAGGCTGTAACCGGTTTGGCTCAGTGGATAGAGCATCGGCCTGCGGACTGGAAGGTCCCAGGTTCGATTCCAGTCAAGGGCATGTACCTTGGTTGCGGGCACATCCCCAGTAGGAGGTGTGCAGGAGGTGGCTGATTGATGTTTCTCTCTCATCGATGTTTCTAACTCTCTATCTCTCTCCCTTCCTCTCTGTAAAAAATCAATAAAATATATATTAAAAAAAAATTAAAACTAGGGAATAAAAGTTTGATGAGAAGCAGAATATTTACATAATTACAAAGATTCTCCTCAGTTACTAATTACAAAGGGAAAGATAGTATCTTGGAGGTTGAAAACTGGGCAGATCCTACCTAAATTAAGTACAGAGTTATCAACAATAACCAATAGATATGGTCCACTGAGAAGGATGTAACATCACTTGTGCAGTACTGTGTCAAAAATACATGGCCTAAATCTAATGGGAGCATGAAACAAACCCAAATTACAGACATACTACAAGGTAAGATCAGTAAAATGATAACAATGTTTAAGTTTTTTGGGCTTTTTTTTTAAACATTTTGATGCACTTCGTTCCAGGTTAGAACAGCCCTTTGGGGGATAGGAATAAATACAATAGATTTATAAGGGGATGTATTAGTCAAGGCTCTTGTTTATTAAAAAAAAAACAAAAAAACCCCAAAACTATCAATTCTGGCTAATTTGAGGAGAAAAGAAATTTACTAAAAGGATATTGGATAGTTGACAAAGTCTTGAGAATACCTGACAGAGTCTTAAGGATGACTTATAACATTAAACTTGGAAAGAACAAAAGGAGGCTGGCTACACAGCCAAAGAGCTTATCACAGGATACATCTAATAGGGAGGGATACAGTTTGCATGGCCAGCAGTGCCATCCCTGGACATTGATACAGTATTTGCCCCTAAGAGCTGAATATTGTTATTGATCCTACTATAAGAATTTACAACTTCGTCACTTCTCTGAACCACCAGCTCCTGATTCAAAATCCCAAACATATATCAAATCAAGGACCTCAGTTTTCGTGCCTTCACCCTAACTTCCAATGAAGCTGATGTATCTTGTAGAAGGCAAAACTCAAAAAAGTGGGGAATTACCCTAGCCGGTTTGGCTCAGTGGATAGAGTGTTGGCCTGCAGACTGAAGGGTCCCAGGTTCGATTCCAGTCAAGGACACATGCCTGGGTTACAGGCTTGATCCCTAGTAGGGGGCTTGCAAGAGGCAGCCGATCAATGATTCTCATTATTGATGTTTCTATCTCTCCCTCTCCCTTCCTCTCTGAAATCAATAGAAATATTTTTTTTTAAAGGGGGAATTCCTCAGACAAGGAAAGGATTTCACATGCTTGAGCATACCCCATTTCCAAAAACAAAGTCCTCCATAAAGGACTAATTTGTCAGTCAAAATATTTAGTAATCTGTCAATTTTATTTCACTACTCTTGTTAAGAATTTAAAGAGACTCTTAGAGTCTCAGATTTCAATCAGCAGGAGGGGAGTTTGAATATCTGTGGACAATTAGTTGATGATGTCTTTCATCACCTTTTAAAAAAATATTTTTATAATATATTTATTGATATCAGAGAGAAAGAGAGAGAGAAACATCAATGATGAGAGAGAATCATTGATCAGCTGCCTCCTACATGCCCCCTACTGGGGCTTCCATCACCTTTTTAAAAAAATTACAAGTATTGCCCAGTTGGTGTTGCTCAGTGGTTGAGCGTTGACCTATGAACCAGGAGGTCAGGGTTCGATTTCAGTCTGGGTACATGCCTGGGTTGTGGACTAGATCCCCAGTGGGGGGGCATGCAGGAGGCAGCTCATCAAGGACTCTCATCATTGATGTTTCTATCTTTCCCTCTCTTTTCCTCTCTCTCTAAAATCAATAAAAACATATTTTTAAAATTACAAGTGCCATTCCATATATATATATATGTGTTTGTGTGTGTATATATATGTATATATATACACACACAGTTAAATGCACTTTAACACTACAGATTTTCGATCTAAGACCACACTAACATAGACATAAAAAATGTCCCCATAATTGAATAAGCCAGAAAAGAAAAGTAATAATCTATTAAGTTATTTTCTGGGTATGTACTACCTTCTTAGTTTATATTTAATGGTGGAACCACACATTGGAACATAAACACTTGAATTTTATTCTGAACCTGTAACTGTCTGATACTTTGTGATCAACTTCTAGAATCCACAACTTGGGATATTCTGTCTTTCCTCAAACTAATTTTGTAAACTCATCAATCTGTTGACTAACATTAATTTATATTTGGATTATTGTCTAGGTGCTGTAGGTAGATAGGAGTTGTCACTCCCTTTATAGTAGAAGATATGGTATATAATGACCACTTATTCAAAATCTAAATTCCCATGATGATTCTGGGAACCAAAATGATTTCATAGCACTTGGCAAGTGAGGTTTTTTGCCTTTCTTTCTTTTTTTTTTTTTTTTTAAATAAATTCAGGCTGTTTAATAAAGATTCGTAGGCATAAATAGAAGTTTTCTTTTCCGTCCATTATATGGACTCATTTTAAAGTTGTTTTTTTTTCTATTTGTTTAGTTTAATACAGTTTTTTAGTAAAATGAAGAAGTGGATGGACATGTCAAACCTGCCACAAGAATTTCGTGAACGTATAGAAAGATTAGAAAGAAATTTTGAGGTGTCTACTGTAATTTTCAAAAAATTTGAGCCAATATTTTTGGATATATTTCAAAATCCATATGAAGAGCCACCAAAGTTACCACGAAGCAGGAAGCAGAGGTAAGACCCTTAATCCTTACATCATTGACATAAAAAGTATGATATAAAGTCACTAGGGGTATTTGCATTTTTAAAACTCTACTTTTAAAACTTAAGTTTCTATTAAAATCCATTTATAATTACCCATATCTGGAAATTCAGGGTAATAATTTCACTTACTTTTTTATGTTCTGATTATTTTATGCATATTGGAAAGGCTTATTTAAGTTTGTTTAAATTAACCAGAGGTTGTCTGTCCTTTGTGAGTGGAATTTTATATGTAATTTAACTTTATTATTTGTTATTTATATTTACTGTTTCAGTTTAAATGGCAGCTGTGGAGTGATATTTAGCAAGTTAGTAATTTAAAAAGTACATTTCCCCCCTTTTTTTTAGGAGGAGTCCTTGCAGTGTTAAGGATCTCTTTAATTTCTGTTGGACACTCTTTGTTTATACTAAGGGTAAGGTGATACTTTTCAGTGGTTTTACATTTCTTCTGTGGGAACTTGGTTGCTATTTGATATTAGAGGTTTCTGGGTTTTGTGTCTCTCTTTTTCTTACAAAGGTAATTTTCGTATGATTGGAGATGATTTAGTAAACTCTTATCATTTACTTCTGTGCTGCTTGGATCTGATTTTTGCCAATGCCATTATATGCCCAAATAGAGGAGATTTGCTAAATCCATCATTTAAAGGTAAGACCTTATTTATTTTTGAAAACCGATGATCAGTTTTTAGAAAAAGTTTTAAAAACTGATCATATTCTTTCCCCCCTGTTGCTTTTCATACCCTGTCATACTAGGATTGCCATCTGATTTCCATACTGCTGACTTCAGGGCTCCTGAAGAGCCTCCCTGCATCATTGCTGTACTGTGTGACCTGCATGACGGACTTCTAGTAGAAGCAAAAGGAATAAAGGAGCACTACTTTAAGCCATATATTTCAAAACTCTTTGACAGGAAGGTACTGTACTTATTAAATGACCAAGATTTTTAGGAGTTAGCAGCAGTAACCTCAAAGGAAGAAATAATATTTTAAAGATTCAGTCAAGATTTCCAGGTTTCAGTCTCTGCCATGTTGCAGAATTGGCCTATAACGTGAGGAACAGCCGTGACCAATTATATATACTATCAAGTAAAAATGCACTGTCAGAAGTAACGATAGGAGGGTCTGATAAAAAAATTATGAAAAACAGGAGGTCGTAAGCTAATTTACTGCCACAATTTGAATAATTCCTATTTACTAGACGTAGGATGCATATAACAACTATAGCTTTAATTCTTTGTAAATAGAGCAGAAAATCCTGTATAGTTTTGTAGACACTTGCAGACTATATGCATGCATTCTAGTTTGTTTTCCTCAAGAATTTACTTAGCTATTTCTATATTTATGAAGTGGCTTATTCCTTTAGGACTCAATTTTTCATTTCCTGAATATTTAGCCTTTTAATCCAGCTACCTTGAGTTTTCTCTTTAGTAAAAAAAGAAGTTTGGATTAGGTCATCATGTGGTTCCTCTCTGCCATTATTATGAGATTTTTCTTCAAGCATAACGTCTTTCCTAACTGGATTCTTTGTCTCTTACACATACTTTTGTATTTAATTTTATATTTCCTAAAATGTGTGTGTGTGTGTGTGTGTGTGTATCATGACTCTATATGTATGTTAAACATCTTCAGTAAACTTCTAAGGAAATTCAAAAGTTATGTCTGTTATACTCTGCAGAAGAAGCACACTAGCGGCCTCTGAGTATGATGATTGTACATCTTGGTTTCTTTGGATTATTTGGCTTTGTGCTGTTGTCTTAGCACAGGGTTGGGAAACCTTTTTTCTGCCAAGGGCCATTTGGATATTTTTAACATCATTTGAGGGCCATACAAAATTATCAGTTTAAAAATTAGCCTGCTGTATTTGGTCAACCATTTAATTAAATCACCCCTAATGCATTGGCAAGGCCAAATCAAATGATTTCCCACCCCTGTCTTAGCATTATTATTATAGCATCTCCTTTCACCCTAAAAGTATCCTAGTTTGGATAATGGTCCTCCTGCCCATGGGCCACAGGTATTTTGCTTGGTCTTTGTAGGGTGCTATTTATTTCATTTTGTTTTGTTCAATTTTTAATTTCCAGATAAAGACCTTATATATAAAAACCTTTCAAAAATCAGAAGCTATAGCAATATTGGTTTGGAATTTCTACATGACTTTACATGGGTAACTGTTGTCAAGCTAGATGATGGTCACTTCTTTGAAAATGGGAAATACCCTTTCTGCTCTCATCATTTATGTATATTGACCCCTGACCCTTAGGGCATTTGAGTTTACAACTCCTGATGTGTAATAATCTTAAGTAGTGTGAGTACACAAAAGTATTAACAACAGTATAGTTTTCCTCTCACCAATGATAGTACATATGTTTCCTTTGAATCTTTTGCTTGTCTAACACATTCAATATATGTTAGTTTACTTTCACCACAGACAAGTGTTTAAAATTGGATAGCTTTCATCAGAATAAGTATGGAAATTTGCTAAAAATGCTGCCTCAGCCCAAGCCTTGAGGTCCATCAGTTTGCATTTTCAACAAGTTCTCTTAAATGATTCGTATATCACTAAGATTTGGAAACCACTGCTATAGACTGATTTTAAAGTATTTTCAAAACTGACTTTAGCCTGGTTGGTGTGGCTCAGTTGGTTGAGTGTCAGTCATCTTATGCACCAAGAGGTCACTCACTGGTTTGATTCCTGGTCAGGACACATGCCTGGATTGTGGGTTCAATCCCCAGTAGGGGGTGTGCAGGAGGCAGCTGATCAATGTTTCTATCTCCCTTCCTCTCTCTGAAACCAATAAAAACGTATTAAAATAATAGTAAATTTTAAAAGGCAATTTTCTTTTTAAAGAAGAAAAAAACCTTGACTTTAAATGTTTTTTAATATTTTATTTGCATGCTGATTTAGTTTTACTGGTCTGAAATAAATACTTAGTAATTTTGTTTTGTGTTTGTATGATTTATGACAACTGCCAATGTGAAAATTTAGGTAAATACTGTTTTTATGTGTGTGCTAATATGCTCAATTATATGATGTCACATAATGACTTTTTCCTCCTAGATTTTAAAAGGAGAATGCCTCCTGGACTTTTCCAATTTTACTGATAATAGGTAAGTATCTACCACTAATGGTATCTAATATAGTATAGGCTGTCAATAATAATTTGTTACAATTTATTAAGTGAAACATTATATTCAAGTTCCTACTGATCTGGTGACATTGAGTGGGTGTTGTCACCAAGCCTTGTTGTCTTTATATTTATTTTGGGGAACCATTGGTACTTGACAGCTACTTTCCAGAGAAAGTCATAAACAGGCCCAATGTCTTCTGTATTTGAGTTTTTATTAATCAAATGTTGGCAAATTCAGAATGTGCTTATATTTCAAAGTCATTATTGCCTCAGTATCTTAATTAGGTTCAACTAGTTTTCAGATTAAGTATATATTCTCTTTCACTCACCTTTCAAAGTAAGTTATTGCTGTGTATTGAATGTGAAGAATGGTCATCAGGTAGGAGCCTCTGATATCATTAGATGAGAAGACTTAATAAAAATAAGAAGTCACCCTGGCCAGTGTGGCTCAGTTGGGTAGGCATTGTCATGCACCAAGGGATTGCTGGTTGATTCCTGATCAGGGCACAAGCCCAGATTGCAGGCTTGATCCCCAGTAGGGGTGGTGCAGGCGGCAGCTGATAGATGTCTCGCTCTCGCATCAGTGTTTCTCTCTCTAAAAATCAATAAAAAACATATTTTTAAAAACGTAACAACACTAGCCCTAATCGGTTTGGCTCAGTGGATAGAGCATCGCCTGCGGACTGAAGGGTCCCAGGTTCGATTCCTGTCAAGGGCATGTACCTTGGTTGCAGGCACATCCCCAGTAGGGGTGGTGCAGGAGGCAGCTGATGGATGTTTCTCTCTCATCGATGTTTCTAACTTTCTGTCCCTTTCCCTTCCTCTCTGTAAGAAATCAATAAAATATTATTAAAAAAAAAAAATAACAACACTAGAAAGTCATCAGCTTTTTCATACTGTGGAGTCTAAATCTATCTTCAAATCAAGATAAATCCATTGTGTTTTATTCTGTTACTTGGTTTTATTCTTGCAGCTTAAAGTAATTTTTTTTTTTTCAGCAAAGCAGTGAACAAGGAGTATGAAGAATATGTTTTAACTGTTGGTGATTTTGATGAACGGATCTTTTTGGGAGCAGATGCAGATGAGGAAATTGGAACTCCTCGAAAGTTCGCTGGTGACACCCCATTAGGGAAACTGACAGCACAGGCTAATGTGGAATATAACCTTCAACAACACTTTGAAAAAGTAATATAACCTAGACTGGCCTCAGTCTTGAATGATCTTTTTCTTTCTGTGTATGATTCTACTAACAGCAGAAGCATCTTTCAAGCTAAATCTTGGGTTTCTTCTACTAATTCATATTTCCCATGAAAGCCTTAAAAGGTAATTTTTAAAACTATGGCATTTAGTATTTTTACCACATTTCTTACTATTTTTCATATTTTGGATATATTTTCCCAGAATGCCTGGGTTTTACAGTAGAGAATGTGTCTTGACATAAAGGATTTATGCTTTCTTCCTAATCTTTTTATCACTAGCCACTATTCCACTGCTTTAAAATTTAATTTGCTTTCCTACCCATGATAAACTATGTGCTCTTCCTGTGCTTCAGCTATAAAACTCTGGACTTGATTATTAATAGCCAAGGCTTAATTCTGTATATAATGGATTGGATGATAAGGTTTAATGGAAAAGCCATTAGTCTAGAACACTGATTTTCAACCTTTTGTCTCATGGCACACATAAATTAATCAGTATAATTCTGTAGCACACCAAAGAAATAAATTTTTTTGCCAATCTGATCAAAAAATTAGTTATACTTTTGATTTACCAAAAAATACTATATAATAAAAGGGTAATATGCAAATTGACCCTAACAGTGCAACGACTGGTCGATATAATGCGCACTGACCACCAGGGGCAGACGCTTAATGCAAGAGCTGCCCCCAGGTGGTCAGTGCACTCCCACTGGAGGAGCTCTGCTCAGCCACAAGCTAGCGCAGCGGTGCTGGCAGGAGCCTCTCCCACCTCCTTGGCAGACGGACATCCCCCAAGGGCTCCCGGGCTACCAGAGAGATGTCTGACTGCCAGCATAGGCCTGATCCCCCAGGGAAGCAGGCCTAAGCCAGCAGGTGAACATCCCCCAAGGGGTCCCAGACTGCGAGAGGGAGTAGGCCGGGCTGAGGGACCCCTCCCCACCCCCACCCCAAATGCACGAATTTTCGTGCACCGGGCCTCTAGTAATAATAATAATTGCCTACCCTTTTTGCTCCAAAGTGGCTTTTTTAAAAAAAAATCAGGTGCTTATAAGGATTTCTGGTATAATTAAACAGTTAGATACAACCTTTTGCAATGTGGCCAGTGAGTTGAACTCTGTTATATACCTATATATGTATGGTTCAAGGCAGGGCATTCACGCTGGACAGTATTTGTTGTGTTGGCTGTTGTCAGTTTTTTGAGGGGAGGGGCTGTTATAATTTTTTAAATTTGACAATCTAAAGGAAAAAAGATCAGTGTCCCTGACTAAATAGTCAGGTATTGCATGCTTTAAAAATTCTTGCAGCACACTGGTTGAAGATCAGCTCTGCCATTAACTTCATCAGCTTAAACAGGGTTTTTAACTTCTCTGTGCCTGTTGTCTAATAAGTAAAATGAAAACGTATGTTATTTTTAAGTGAATGTTAGGAAGAGAAAATGAGATTATGCTTTGAAAAAGTGTTACTCAAATTTAAGGATGTTATTAACATGATATTGCTAAAAATTTGGTGGATAACCAGAAGAGGAGGGGAAAAAGTAGCCTACTAAATTTGAATAGAGAAGACGATATACATACTGAATTAAATACATAATAAGGGGGAAGGTAACTTTTTAACCTCACAGATTTTTCTTTTTTTGACAGAAAACATCATTTGCACCTTCAACACCCCTGACAGGACGGCGATATTTAAGAGAAAAAGAAGCTATCATTACTCCTGTTGCTTCAGCCACTCAAAGTGTGAGCCGGTTACAGAGTATTGTGACTGGGCTGAAAAATGCACCAAGTGAACAACTTATAAATATTTTTGAGTAAGTTCAATACTATTATTTTTCTAAATTAGATTTTGTATTCCATTTTGTATTCAGTATATTCAGAATTCTTAAGATAGTGGATATACATTGGGAAAGTTTTACCATACCATTTCAATCACAAAATATGTTGACATAATATCAGAAAGAAGTACCTATTAAAAATTTCATATCAATATTCCTATTATTATAGACTTTTAAGGTTAGATATATCTGAAAGGTTATTTAGCTCTGACATTCCATTCTGGTAACTATCCCTAAGTTATACATTATTGTTTTTCTTTTTACTTGACCTTAAATGGGTTCAAGCTAAATGTTTATCAAATGGAGGAATTACATACTGATGGGGCAGCCAGAAAATATATTTTTTTGCGGTTGTTTAAAAAAAGACCATTATAAGAACCTGGTGGGATTCCTGAAGATAAAACCCAGGAAAGTTTGGGGCCACCCCTAAGAATGTAGCACCAGGAGTCTCCCCCTTCTCACTCAGGTTCTAGCAATTCATTAAAATTACCTTTTAAGTATCCTTACAAATTTATGCTCCTTCTTCTCCAGAAGTATGGAACAATGAGATAGCTTTCCTGATCAGCAGGAGGACACTGATAGCTGGGAAGTTTGATGCTCAGTGATAGCTTTGCTACCTCTGAATCCTAAAAAAGACACTGTCCTTCAAGAGCAACTGAAGCCCTTTAAAGATGCACAGATTGCCCTTTATCTCCTTGTGTTTATAATTCTCATACCTCTCATCTGAATAGTGGTAACAAATGAGTAAACTAGAGGAGTGCATGTATAATGCATCAGCAGAAATTATGTCTATGAAAGAAAAACAAGCGCATTTGGAATAGGAAATAAAAGGAGAAGTGAAAAAAAAGAAGTAAATCTCTCCCTTCCTCTCTGAAAGCAATAAAAATAAAAAAATAATAATAATGAAGAAGTGAAACTATTGAATAACATGACTAAGGCTGAAAGATTGGGAACATTCTCAGACACTGAAAAATACTACTTATATTCAAGGTCCTCCTGGACACCCAGATGAAAAGGAAATAGAGATCTCACACTGGAAATGATGCATTCCAGATCTAATAACAGGTCCTCCTGTTATTATTTTTTTCTTTTTCTCAAAATTTTTTATCTAAAAACAAACCAAAAAAAAAATGAAAAGAAGAAAAACAAAAATTATTGGAAACTTCATGGTTCAGGTAGGGAGAAAGGAGAGGAGCATGGAGCTCAGGCTCCGAGCCTCTCCAGAGGAAGTCCTCACCCTCGAAGTGCCCTCTTTGAGGGAGAGCAGCACTGGGGACAGCCCCCCATGCCCAGCCTCCATCTGGAGAAGAGGGTAGAGTCACAGTGGTCCAAGGACCAGAGGGACTGGAGGGGGGTGGGGGGCAGGGGACAAAGGGGTCACAGGAAGTAGTCGGCCACGGGCTTCTTGGAGGGGATGCCCCCCGTCTCTTGGGGAGCAGCCTCAAAGATGATAAAGTATTTCTGGAGATGCTCATCCAGCTGCAAGATGGCTGCCACATTCCCACAGCGGTAGCAGTAGTTGGGTGCCGACCACACAGTGAGTACAGTCTCATTGAAGTGCCACTTGTAACCTTCCATCACCAGTTGGTGGGCACGCAAGATCATGTCAGTGTCGTTGGCTGCATTGAACTGAGCCACCATGTCACTGCCAAATAGGTAGCCAGCCCCACAGGGGCTCACACCACAGCCTGTTGTGTCTTCAGGGTCAGACCAGAGCAAGTCACACATGGGACCATCATGAGGCACCTCCTGCTTTCGGTCAATCGTCTGGATCTGGTCAAGGGTCTGGATGGAGGGGGAGAGGCCCCCGTGCATGCAGAAGATCTTGCCATCAATGATGGCTGACAGGCTGAGGTAGTCAAAGATCTCAGTGCAGTAGCGCCACACAGTCACCAAGCCATATTTACGCAGGCACTCATCATAGAAGCCATAGACCTGTGTGATCTGACGGCTCTCATGGTTGCCCCGGATTAGGGTGATTTGATCAGGATAGCGAACCTTAAGTGCCAGCAGCAGGAGGAACGTTTCAACGCTGTAGAAACCACAATCCACAAAGTCCCTCATGAAGAGGTAGGTGGTCTCAGGTTCTAAAGGTGATTGGAGAACAATTGGCTTTCCTGGAAGTCAAGGATTCTCAGGACTAGTGGAGAAGACTTGGAGACCAGGAAATCCTGGACAAAAAGGCCAGAATGGGGAAAGAAGGAGAAGAAGCATGCTAAGACCAGTACCACTCCCTGATCTTATTAGGCAGAGCCCTTTTAGGATCAGGTGGGTTAAGTAGGACATCTTCTGCTACCATCTCATTAAAAGGCCCTTCACCTCCAGACAGATCAGCACAACTGATTCCAAGATCCTTTTGTGGTTCCTCCAAACGACCAGGTAGTCAAGCTTCCTCATGGTTTTCTCTCCCGGTCCTGGGTGCTGCTGCTAGGGCCTCTGCTTTCATGCTCAGACCTCTACCCACTCCGTACCCCTCAACACTATCATCCCCTAACCTGGACACCTTCCATTGGCTGTTCTAACTAGAGCCAGGCTAGGAGTTCACTGACACCCCCTCACCTAGTGTCTTGCTAAACCAGATTAATCCATTGAGTTCTAGAAATTTTATGGGTACTGACTTATGTGGGTTCATTAATTAAGAAACACTATTCTCAACCAACAAGAGGAATGACATAAAAAGAAAATTCATTCAGCATATGTTCATTGTGAACCTCCTGGAACTGGACTTGATAGCTAATAAGATAGCTATTGTGTCTGGCCTTACAGAGCTAATTGTCCTGAAAGACATAGAAATGTAAACAGACAATTATACAGTACAGTAGAGCTATATTGGAGGAAGAATAGGGCTCTATAGGTGCTTAGAGGAGATCAATATTTTTAAATTCCTTAGAATATTAAAAAGATAATTGATTTTGATTTGCATAGTTTACCTTCTTGTTTTCTTAGGCTCTAAATTGCAGCCTTTTTTTTTTCAAGTTTTATGGTGAGGTAAAGTGGAGCTTGGACAGTTCATTCAACACATTTGAACAAAAAAAAAAAAAAAAAACTTTTTTTTTTTTTGTTTAATTTCCTGCTCATTTCAAGCAAAAATTTTTTATCAGGGTGGCTGCAAAAAAAAAAAAAAAAGAAAAGAAAAGAAAGAAAGAGAGAAAAGAAAAACAGAATTTCATGAAAAAAACAAAACTGATAATTTTTTTATTCTAAAAAGTATTTTATGCTTTAATTATCCAGTGTAGGTCCTGGAGAAAAAAGACATATTTCAGTAGCACTAGAGATACTTTGTGTAGGTAAACAAAGGGCTGAAACAATGAAAAGGGAGAAAAGTTAAGAAAAGGCAGACAAAAAAAGGAATAAGAGGGCTAGCACAAAGATGATGGCATAGGTAAATGTGGCATTCACCTTCTCCCACAGCCACATCAAAATTACAACTAAACCACAGAACAACCATCATTCAGAACAGCCTGAAATCTGGCTGAACAGACGCCCTACAACTAGAGAATTAAAGAAGGCACTTTGAGACTCTAGGTGGGGCAGAGGCCAGAATGGGCTGGTTGGACATCCACATATGGCAGTTAAAAATCAGGAGGAATATCTTGGCAGCGGAACTATCCCAGTGAGGAGCAAAGGGTCCCACCCCTACACCAGACCCTCAGCCCAGGATTCCAATGCCAGAAACAGTAGTCCTCATAACTTCAGGCTGTAAAAGCCAGTGGGGATTGTGGCTGAGTGACACAGAGGCTGCTGAAGTCCCAGGCAGTTCCTATTAAAGGACCTGTGCACAGACTTACTCAGACTCACTGCCTCTGAGCTCCAGCACTGAGGCAGCAACTTGAAAGGATTCAAGGACATACAGAGAGGAACTAAATTGTCTGGCATCAGGACAACTGGGGCCAGCCTTCTCCCAGAGAAAATTGCTGGCAGAGGTCATTGTTCCTTGGCTGAGACCCCCCCTACCACAGAGCCAACAGGCAGGAGCCATATCTAAGTCTCCATCAACCTGACCAACACTGTTCACCAGTCCTGGTGATACCCCAAGACCCCACTCCACCCTTTTGCAGTCCCATCCAAGCTGTTTGCAGTGGATTTTCCATATGAATGGCCTGTCCTGGCTCAGGCTTCAGACTTATCCAAAATCTCTCAAACAAGCAGCAGCTGGCCTCATCATGCTCCATATCTCTGGATAAGTGGCCACAGGCCCAGCACTAGCAGCAGCTTTCCAAGGTTCAAAGCTTGGCCTCCTGGGCACCTCCAAGCCCAACACAAATAGCACCTATCTGCAGATCATTCTGTAACTCGTGTCGGGTGGCCCCAGGCAGGGCATAGGCAGCAGTTGACTTTGCACCTCCCAGGAGGCCCTAGAGCCAGTGTACCTGGTAGTCAGCTTCAGATCATGACAGTTTTCAACCCTACCACATCCAAGGGGAGGACTTGGTGAGCACCAAAGCCCCATTGAAGCAAGTCCTGCCCCATAGGGGTGTCTCCTGCACGGTAGCTTTTCTGCTGTTGTCATAGCTGTTCCTCACAGCCAATTGGCCTGGGAGTCAACCCCTCCCAGTGACAACAATTAAGGCTCAACTACAACAGGACAGTGCACACAGCCCATGTAGAGGCTCACATAGAAGTCTCAGCTCAAGTGTCTAGTAAGGCTGAGCCACTGGGCCCTTCAGGACACCTACTACACAAGGTCACTGTACCAATTCCAGGAGACATAGCAGCTCTACCTAATACATAAAAAACACAGGGAAGCAGCCAAAATGTGGAGACAAAGAAACATGTTACAAATGAAAGAACTGGAAGCAAGCAAACTGCTGGATACAGAGTCAAAACAATGGTTATAAGATTATTCAAGGATCTTAATGAGAGCTTCAAGGAACTTAGTGAGATTCTCAAGGATCTTAGTGATAATGTCAAAGACATGAAAAAGGGACAGTCAGAAATTAACTAACTGAAATAAAGAATAATTTACAGGGATTCAACAGTAGAGTAGAGGATTCCAAGAATCAAATCAAGGATTTGGAATATGAGGAAGCAAAAACCGCCCAATCAGCAGAGCAAAAAGAAAAAAGAATCCAAAAATATGAAGACAATTTAAGGAGCCTCAGGGACAACTTCAAATATACTAATATTCACATTATGGGGATGCCAGAAGGAGAAGAGAAAGAGCAAGATATTGAAAACCTACTTGAAGAAATAATGACAAAAACTTCCCCTAGCTGGTGAAAGAAATAGTTTTGCCTTTTCTAGAATGTCATAAATATAAGCATAATATAGTGGCTGTTGATTCTTCTAATATTGAAATTCCTAAACATAATGTCAAATTATTTCATTTAGAGGCTGTAGACTTGTTTGAAATATGCTAGTTTACATATCTAAGTTGTAGGTCCTTGCTTTTTATCACTTTGAATATTTCTTGCCACTCCCTTCTGGCCTGCAAAGTTTCTGTTCAGAAATCAGCTGACAGTCGTAGGGATGCTCCCTTGTAGGTAACTAACTGCTTTTCTCTTGCTGCTTTTAAGATTATCTCTTTGTCTTTAACCTTTGGCATTTTAATTATAATGTGTCTTAGTGTGGGTCTCTTTGGATTCATCTTTTTTGGAACACTTTAGGTTTACAACTGAGACTAGAACTTTGATCATGAAAAACCAAGCTAATTCTTAAAAGAAGAAATGTTGGTAGGCTGGGTTGTTCTTTTTTTCCTGGTAATTGAGTTCCTATTGTATTTTATAGATCTTGTATGCGTAATCCTATGGAAAATATTATGAAAATAGTGAAAGAAATAGGAGAGACTTTCTGTCAACACTATACTCAATCAACAGATGAACAACCAGGATCTCACATAGGTAAGAAGACAAAACTAAAGTTAATGCAGCAATAAAAATAGACAGATTGTCCCCCCCAAAAAAGTAGAAATTCAAGTTTTTCCTTCCCTGCTATTCTTTTTTCTTTTTTTTTTTTTTGAGAGAGAGAGAGAGAGAGAGAGAGAGAGAGAGAGAGAGAGAGAGGAGGGGAGGGAGGAGGGTTGGGAAAGAGAGAAAAACATCAATGTGAGAGACACATTAATTGGTTACCTCCCATTTGCACCCCAACCTGGGCCAGGGATCAAACCTGCAACTGAGGTACATGCCCTTGACCTGGAATTGAACCCCTGACTCTTTGGGCTGTGGCTCTAACAACTGAGAAGCCAGCCAGGGTTCCCTGCTTTCTTAATTTATCAGATTTAAGTTTATATGTTTTGTTCTTTAGTCCTTAACAGCTATGTTTTATTAACAAATTTTCCCTTTTTCCCCCCCTAAGACTTTGCTGTAAACAGACTAAAGCTTGCAGAAATTTTGTATTATAAAATACTAGAGACTGTAATGGTTCAGGAAACACGAAGACTTCATGGAATGGACATGTCAGTAAGTAAATTGCCTCTATCAGCCTCTAGCAAGGTCCATAAATCTTAAGCCTGGCCCGGCTGGCATGGCTCAGTGGTTGAGCATCCACCTATGATCCAGGAGATCCTGGATTCGATTCCTGGTCAGGGTACATGCCCAGATTGCAGGCTTGATCCCCAGTAGGGGACATGCAGGAGTCAGCCCATCAGTGATTCTCTCTCATCATTGATATTTCTATCTTTCTCTCGTTTCCTTTCTGAAATCAATAAATACACATTTTAAAAAACATATATACTATATATGTGTGTGTGTGTGTGTGTATGTATGTATGTATATATATATATATATATATATCTTAAGCCTGGAAGCAATGTGTTGTGAGGTTCTACAGTATAATGCATTGTGGAGGTCAGCGGTTAAGGGCAAACTTAGCCAAGATGACATATTAGTTGGCCTTAGTTATCTTTGGCACATCAAGAGCTAGTCACATCTAGGCAGGAATGTGAAATGTCTAAAATTCGTCTTTGGTGCACCATCAGTATCCTTTCCATTCAGGTACTGTTTTTTTGTCCTTCATTTGCAGTTAGCTAATAATAAACCCCCTTCCCTCAAACATTAAAGCCAACTGATAGTTAAAGTATTTGTCCATACCTCCCAGGGATTTTAGAGGAATAAATTCTTGCATACTGTTGTTTTTTCTCTCTCTTTCTCTCTCTTTATCTATTTTTTGTTTTTTATTGATTTCAGAGAAGAAGGGAGAGGGAGAGAGAGAGATAGAAACATCACTGATGAGAGAGAATCATTGATCGGCTACCTCCTGCATGCACCACACTGGGATTTGAGCCCAGAACCCGGGCATGTGTCCTGACCGGGAATTGAACCATGACCATAGGTCAATGCTCAACCACTGAGCCACGCCAGCTATGCTGCACATCCCCATAATGTTTTTTAGACTCACATTTGATTGGCAGTTACATGTATTTAGAATTCTAGATTAACAGTCATTTTCCTTTGGCAGTGAAGTCCAATGGCATTCCAATTCTCATTATTGGTATGTGTCCTGTGTTTACTTTCTGGAATATTAATATTCTGTTTTTGTTTTTGTTTGTTAATCCTCACCCAAGGATATATTTCCTATTGATTTTTAGAGAGAGTAGAAGGGAGGATTGCAGGGAGGGAGGGAGGCAGAGAGAGAGAAAGAGAGAGAGAGAGAGAAACATCGATGCCATAGAGACACATTGATTGGTTGCCTCTCGCATGCACCCTGAGTGGGGCGCAAGATCAAACCTGCAACTCAAAAAAAAAAACAAAACCTGCAACCCAGATACATACCTTTGACTGAGAATTGAACCCACTACCCTTCATCTGTGGGCCAACGCTCTAACCACTGAGGACCCAGCCAGGGCAATATCCTCTCTCTCTTTTTTTAAATTGATTTTACAGAGAGGAAGGAAGAGGATGTAGAGTTAGAAACATTGATAAGAGAGAAATATCAATCAGCTACCTCCTGCATGTCCCCTACTGGGAATCGAGCCCACAACCAAGGTACATGCTCTTGACCAGAATCGAACCTGGGACCCTTCAGTCCCCGGGATGATGCTCTATCAACTGAGCCAAACTGGTTAGGGAAATATCCTTTTATCATCACTGATGTACTGAAATTTATAATAAAGTGCCTTATTGTGTGTCTTTTCATTCATGTATTGGACATTCTTATAAAGTTGTTCTTTTGTTGTTTGTTTAAATATATTTTTACTGATTTTAGAGAGTAAGGGTGTGGGAGAGAGAGATAGAAACATCAATGATGAGAAAGAATCATTGACTGACTCGTACATGCCCCCCACTGGGGATCGAGCTTGCAACCTGGGCATGTGCCCTGACTGGGAATCAATCCGTGACCTCCTGGTTCATAGGTAGACACTCAACAACTGAGCAAAATTGTTCTTTTAATCCCAAAAATATGTCCAGCAGTTTGGGGTCATTTTATTGCATTATTTCTTACATAATATATTGCCCACTGATTTATCTCACTATAGATTTTATTTTTCAGATGAGGGATGTTCAGGATTATTTTTCTTCTCTTGTTTTTCTTTTACTTTAAAAAATATGTTTTTATTGATTTTTAGAGAGAGGAAAGGAGACGGGGAGAGAGATAGAAACATCGATTAGCTGCCTCCTGCATGCCCCCTACTGGGGATCAAGCCGGAAACCTAGGTATGTGGCCTGACTGAGAATCTAACCAGTGACCTCTTTGTGCTTGGAATGACATTCAACCAATTGAGCCACACCAGCTGTCTCTTCTCTTATTTTTGTTTTGTTTTTTTATCTTTTTGTTATAATTGTAAGGATATTTATTCAACTTTTCATCATTCAATCCTAATAAAGTTTTTTATTTTAGCTATATTTTAATTTCTAAGATCTCTTTCTTTCTCTCTGAGGTTATTAATTTAGATTTCTTTGAAGTTGTGTTCTGTTGCTTGAATTGTCTGTTTCCTCTGTGTTTCTTTTCTGTTTATTTTGATCTTTGTCTTTCAATGGGAGGGTTTCCTCAAATGTTGGATCATTCATAGATGTTTACTTTTACTTTTATTTGGATGAAGCACTAAAAATGAGACACTAATAAACCCTTATGTTGAAAGACAGTTTGATTCAAAAGCTGTATGCAAGAGTGGGAATAAAGGTCCACCAGCCTTGCCCTAGTAATGTAGTTCAGTTGGTTGAGCATTGTCCCGAAAGTTTTGATTCCCAGTCAGGGCACATGCACAGGTTATGGGTTCAATCTGCAGTCAGGGCATGTGCAGGAGGCAACCGATAGATGTTTCTCACATCGATGTTTCTCTCTCTCTTTCTCTCTCCTCCCCTCCTACTTTCCTCTCTCTCTAAAATCAATAAAAACATATTTTAAAAAATAAAAGCTCACCAACCTCCGGTGATTATGTAGTATTACAGACCCTCAACTGTTTTGCTAATATTTTGGTTTCTCTAGAGAAATATCTGCTACTCTTTTGCCTCACAGTTGCTGTGGTTGAGCAGAACAAGGAAGGGAAACTTGATGTCACAATTTAGTCTGCAAACTTCTGCCTAAAACCTCAATCTTCTATGCCTTGTGTTCTCAAGTTTTGAGTCTCTCCAGTTCAGTTCTACAGAGAATAATTCTTTAGGTTCTCTGTTGGGATAGACTAGAGGCCTATCTTCTGACTCCTTAGAGTGGGGGTTGGATAGGTATAGTTCTAACTACAACATACATCCATGTTGGCCCCTTGCCCAACCACTGCTTTTATTCTGCCCATGCTTTTGGTTGCTTTGTTTCTTTTCAGGTTGCATAGAGCAAATTTGTTTTTAGTGTGTCTCTTCAGGCCCTCATGTTTGACCATCCTACTTTATTCTTAGTAATTTGTCATCCTTCCATCCACTTCTAGTCTTTATAAATTTACTAGAGGCCCGGTGCACAAATTCATACATGGGTGGGGTCCGGCTGGCCCCGTCCCAGTTGGGGTTGGGGGGCCAATCTGGGGTGCAGCCGGCTGCGGGGAGAAGCCTGGAGAAGACCCACTGAGTTGGAGCTGAGCATGGACCCCAGGCTTCTCAGGGAGGACGGTCTCAGCAAGGAAACAGAAACCAAGAGAAGGCTCTGCAAACAGGCCCTGAGCTCCCTTTGGTCGGGAGCTGGTATCTCTGTGTGTACATTAGACATAGCCCGGCACTCATCTTTGTCTGTTGGTCAAATCCATTGCATTGAAAAACTTGTTCCCCTTCTTCTCTTTGGGGCCTTCCAACAAATACAGGCCAATTGGAAGACATGGGCCCCAGAGGCAGAGCCAGGCCCCACAATCACCCTGAATTTAGGCCTAAGACAACTGGGTAGCAATCTCCAGGGAACAGAACACACTGTTTTAGAGTCTTAATTCTCCCCTAAAATGTGCCCAGCTGCTCCTCTTTAGCTGGGATAGACTGAACTAAGGAACCAAAGATTGAGTTTCCTTTGAGGTGGGATCCACCAGGAGCCAGCTGGTGGCAAGGCCTCTCACAGGCAGCTACCTTACCCCTCAAGCTTGGTGTGCTCTGAGCCGGTCCGTTTCTGGTGGTCCTGGGTCCTGGGCTGCTGGTCTGGTGGCAGGTACACAAGGTTTCTCTCTCTCACCTTCCTGGTCTCCCAAGCAGTACCCTCCAGCCCAGTGCGCCAGGCGGCTGTCGCTAGAGACGGGACTCAGAGAGTAAAGGAACTGGCCCACGCCGAGGGACCCGCAGGTGGCCAGGCTGTGCCCCCCACCTCACTTCTCAGTCTCGCTCACATGGATTGGGCCAAAGCCTGCTGCCTGAGACGGGCGCCATGTGGGGAGAGTCACAACAGGGAGAGGGGTGCCCTGACCTGCCAGCCTTGGTGATGGTCATCTCAATGCCCAGATGATTGAATTTGTCCCACAAAGCCTTCATCTCAAGCTGCATGCTCACTCTGGCCACCTTCTCATTCTTTACCAGTGCCTTGGTGGTGGGAGCAAAATTGGCCCTGGGGCCCTCAGGCTCTGCAGTGGCGCTGGTGGCAGCAACCGGTCGTTCCACTGTAATGGTCGCTGGACTTTTATTATATACACTAGAGGCCCAGTGCACAAAAATTTGTGCACTCGGGGGGTGAGGAGGGGTCCCTCAGCTCGGCCTGTGCCCGCTCGCAGTCTGGGACCCCTTGGAAGATAACGACCTGCTGGCTTAGGCCTGCTCCCAAGTGGCAGAGGGCAGGCCCAATCCCTAGGTGCAGCCCCTGGTTGCGCTCAGAGCAGGGCTGATTGGGGAGTTGGGGCGCCGCCCCCTGTCATGCACAGAGCAGGGCAGATTGGGAGGTTGCGATGCCACCCTCAGTCACGCTCAGGGTAGGGCCGATTGGGGGGTTGGGGGACCGTCCCCTGTCACACTCAAGGCAGGGTCGATGGGGAGGTTGCGGCGCCACCCCCTGTCACACACAGAGCAGGACCAATCAGGGGGTTGGGGTGCCGCCCCCTGTCACAGAGCAGGGCCCATCAGGGGGGTTGGGGCTCCATACCCTGTCATGCACAGAGCAGGGTGGGGGTTGGGGAGCTCCGCCCCTGTCACGAGCAGAGCAGGGCCCATCAGGGGGTTGGGGAGCTCCCACTGTCACGCACAGAGCAGGGCCGATCAGGGGGTTGAGGAGCTCCCCCCTGTCACTCACAGACTAGGGCCGATAGGGGAGTTGGGGCACCGCCCCCTGTCACACACAGAGCAGGGCCAATGGGGAGGTTATGGCTCTACACCAGGGGTGGGCAAACTTTTTGACTCGAGGGCCACAATGGGTTCTTTTTTTTTTTTTTTAATTAAATCTTTATTGTTCACATTATTACATTTGTTCCTCTTTTTTCCCCCCATAACTCCCCCCCTCCCAGATCCCGCCACACCCTCCGTCCTCACTCCCCACCCACTGTCCTCATCCATAGGTGCATGATTTTTGTCCAGTCTCTTCCCGCATCTCCCACACCCCTTTCCCCCCCAAGAATAGTCAGTCCATTCCCTTTCTATGTCCCTGATTCTATTATGATCACCAGATTATTTATTCACTTGATTCTTAGATTCACTTGTTGATAGATGCATGTTGTTCATAATTTGTATCTTTACCTTTTTCTTCTTCTTCCTCTTCTTAAAGGATACCTTTCAGCATTTCATATAATCCTGGTTTGGTGGTGATGAACTCCTTTAGCTTTTCTTTATCTGTGAAGCTCTTTATCTGACCTTCCGTTCTGAATGATAGCTTTGCTGGATAAAGTAATCTTGGTTGTAGGTTCTTGGTATTCATCACTTTGAATATTTCTTGCCATTCCCTTCTGGCCTGCAAAGTTTCTGTTGAGAAATCAGCTGACAGTCGTATGGGTATTCCCTTGTAGGTAACTGAGTTTCTTTCTCTTGCTGCTTTTAAGATTCTCTCTTTGTCTTTTGCTCTTGGCATTTTAATTATGATGTGTCTTGGTGTGGTCCTCTTTGGATTCCTTTTGTTTGGGGTTCTCTGTGCTTCCTGGACTTGTAAGTCTATTTCTTTCACCAGGTGGGGGAAGTTTTCTGTCATTATTTCTTCAAATAGGTTTTCAATATCTTGCTCTCTCTCATCTTCTGGCACCCCTATAATTCTGATGTTGGTACTCTTGAAGCTGTCCCAGAGGCTCCTTACACTATCTTCGTATTTTCGGATTTTTTTTCATTTTGCTTTTCCAGTTGGGTGTTTTTTGCTTCTTCGCATTTCAAATCTTTGCCTTGATTCTTGCACTCCTCTGGTCTGTTGTTGGGAGTCTGTATAGTATTCGTTATTTCAGTCCGTGTATGCTTAATTTCTAGTTGGTTCTTTATCATAACATCGAGGGTCTCATTAGATTTCTTCAGGATCTCACTACATTTATCGGCGGCTTCTAGACAGTTCTTAAGAGACCTTAAAAGTGTGGTTCTGAACTCAATATCCTCCATTGACAGTTTTGTCCTGTTTCTTTGTCTCCGCATTTTTTATGCTTTCTTGGTGCACCCCCTAGTGGTCTTTTGTGCGCAGTCTTGTTGTAGTTAAGCCTTGATTGTTGTAGTTAATACTAGGGGGATTTGACCTCCAGGCCAACTGGCTGTGAGAATCAGCTGTGTCTGCAGTGGGAGAGCTTCTGTGCTGGATCTCTAGGGCGGTGCTGATCTAGTGTTTGCCTGAGGCTATCCGGCAAATGGCTCTGCGCAGGGCTTGGGCGGGGCGGGTCCCCGGGGATCTACAGGGCGGGCCGGAGCAAGCAGTTATGGCTGCTCTCAGTTCTGTCCCTAGGGGCTCTGCCTCATAGAGTCGCAGCAACCGCTGCAAACCTCGGAGAGAAAGCTGCCTTCGAGTTCCGACCGAAGCCAGACAGTCCTGCTTCTCCCGTTTGAGTCTGGGTCCCTAGAGACTCGCCCGGATCTGGAGCTCAGAGTCTGAAACTCCCTCCCGATTGAAAACAACAACCATGCCCTCCGCCTCCAGCCCGCTCTGCGTGCACTCCGCACCTTAGTATTTCACTTCAGCACTGCGCCTCCTCTGAGTCTGGGTATGATATCTCTTTCCTCCTAGTTGTAGAATTTCCACTCAGCCAGCCTTCCTGTGGTTCTGGATGATGTCCGTTCCGTCTTTTAATTGTTTTTTGAAGTGGTTATTCGAGGCAGCAATCTCCGGCGTTAACCTATGCCGCCATCTTGGTTTCTCCCACAATGGGTTCTTAAACTGGACCGGAGGGCTGGAACAAAAGCACAGATGGAGTGTTTGTGTGAACTAATACATGTTAACACTGCTGCTGGTGAAGGAGCGGAGGGGAGAGCAAGAGAACCCTCCGCTCTTTCGGCTCCGCGGGCCGGATAGAACAGCCGAACGGGCCAGATCCGGCCCGCGGGCCGTAGTTTGCCCATGGCTGCTCTACCCCATCACACATAGAGCAGGGCCCGTAGGGGGCAGTTGGGGTGCCCCCTCTATCACCCAAAGAGCAGGGCCGATCAGGGGGTTGGGGCGCCGCCACTATCACACTCAGGGCAGGGCCGATGGGGAGGTTATGTCTCTACCCCGTCACACACAGAGAGGGCCCAAGGGGGGAGGGGGGGCGCCGCACCCTGTCACACACAGAGCAGGGCCAATCAGGGGGTTGGGGAGCCGCACCCTGTCACACACAGAGCCGCAGGGCAATCAGGGGGTTTGGGCGCTGCCCCCTGTCACGCTGATCCCGGTGCCGGGAGGCCTCGTGGCTCCGCTGATTCCGGTGCTGGGAGGCATATTACCCTTTTACTATATGGGATAGAGACCTGGTGCATGGGTGTGGGCCAGCTGGTTTGCCCTGAAGGTGTGGGCCAGCTGGTTTACCCTGGATCAGTTTGGGGGTCCCCACTGGGGTGCCTGGCCAGCCTGGATGAGGGGATGATGGCTGTTTGCAGCTGGTCACACCCCCTTCAGGGTGGGGGTCCTCACTGGGGTGCCTGGCCAGTCTGAGTGAGGGGCTGAGGGCTGTTTTCAGTCTGGCGGGTGACTGAAGCTCCCAACCGCTCCTTTTTTTTTTTTTTTTTTATTCTGGGCCAGCTTTTGCTCTGAGGCTTGGCTCCAGCTCTTAGGCCTCGGCTGCTGAAAGCAGGTATCTGGTTTGTTTGGGTTCTGTAATCGAAACACTGTTTCAACTCCAACTCTGAGATCCTGGCTGGCTGAAAGCAGGTTTCTGGGGTTTTGTTTAGCTTCTATATTTGTAACAATGTTTCAAACTGCAAGCTCAGAGGCCGGCAGTGGCAGGTGGGGAACGTTGGAGTTCTCCGTCACTGAAGCAAGCAAGCCTCATGTTCACTTCAAGCTGCCTGGCTGCCGGCCACCATCTTGGCTGGCAGTTAATTTGCATATTGCTCTGATTAGCCAATGGGAAGGGTAGCATAGGTACGGCTAATTACCATGTTTCTCTTTTATTAGATAGGACTAGAGACCTGGAATTCGTGTGAGGGGCTCAGCCTCATCCCTCACAGCCCCTCACAGCCTCGTCCCTTGCATCCCCTCGCAGCCCCTCGTAGCCTCGGTCAGCCCTCATAGCCCTGGCTTTGTCCGGAAGGTCATCCGGATGGTTGTCCAGAATGTCGTCTGGACGGTCGTTCAGCTGTTTGGTCTAATTAGCATATTATCTCTTTATTATATAGGATGGCTTGCAGTTACGGATGTCTCCTAGTTTTCTACAGAATAGATTCTGTTTCTTATTCTCTTGGTTGATTTGGAGTGATATTTAAAAGAAGGATGGCAATAAACAGCCTGTTTAAAACTAAAAACTGATGTTGAATCTTAAACTCAATGATGAAACAAGAATTTATCTTAGTAAAATAACTCTTTCTCTGAACTTTTTAAAGTCTTAGCCATGATATTATAATACTTTTGATTTTAGTTTTTTGATTAATAAGCCCTTATGTTGACAAAGCACTGGTAATAAAACCCATTAAAAAATTCTTAGCGCTTTTCTTTTAATGGGAATATTGACTATTTTGTTATTTGCTCAATTTTCAAAGCAGGTTGTGATGTATGCCTCATTTAAATATATCTACCATTGAGCAGGATTATATAAGAAAACTCTTTACCAATTTGAGAATTCAAATTTTTATCTCTGATAATCTAGTATAATATAATGTATACAAGTGATTTTTTCTTATTTCTATAGTCTTCTTTATAGAATAACAAAAGCTAAACTTGTTAGAAATATTAAACTGTGGTCTTTCTCTTTTCCAAGGTTCTTTTAGAGCAAGATATATTCCATCGTTCCTTGATGGCCTGTTGTTTGGAAATTGTGCTCTTTGCTTATAGTTCACCTCGTACTTTTCCCTGGATTATTGAAGTTCTCAATTTGCGGCCATTTTATTTTTATAAGGTGAGATGAAGACAGTTCTGTTTATGGTGTACCTCACATAGAATTCTATTTACCTTAATGCTGAAGAAACAAGCTGTACTGATGTTTGGAAAATATTCACAGCAGTATTTTGAAAACATATATTCCTTTTGGGTGGAATCAATGACAAAGGGGAGAGAATGAAGGGTATATATAAATTAAGCCAATCTCACAAGTTTGGTTTTGTTTCTGTCACTGACTGGCGAATACAACCAGAAACTAAGTAGTTAACTTTGAATTTCCCATATTTATGAATGAAAATCATAATCCTGGGCTTCCTCTCAAGATGGCAGGGAAGTTAAATGCAGTACTCCCTTCCTCCCATAAGCACATGAAAATGACAACTGAAGTACAGAACAACCATCATTCAGAACCACCTGAAATCTAGCTGAACAGAAGTCCTATACTAAGGATATAAAAAAAGAAGCCACATTAAGACTGGGAGGAGAGGCAGAGATGCAGCATAGTCTGGTCCGCACTCAGTGGCAGTTAAAAATCAGGAGGGATAGCTCTGCTGCAGAGGTTCCCCAGCCCCACACCAGGTACCCCAGCCCAGGGTTCTAATGCTGGGAAGAGAAGTCCCCATAACTTCGGTTGTGAAAACCAGTCTGGATTCTGACTGAGTGAGATGGAAGGCTGCTGGAGTCCTAGGCAGTTCCTCTTAAATGGCCTATGTATGGACTTACTTGGATTCACCTCTCTGGGTTCCATTGCTGGGGCAGCAGTTCAAAAAGTCCCAGGGACATATGGGGAAGAACTAAATTGTCTGGCTTTGGGACAATGGTTGGAAGGATGGCTTTCTTTCGGACAGAAGTGCTGTCAGGCCATTTTTCCTTTGCTGAACACTCCCCCCATACAGCCAGCAGACAGGCTCCATATCTGGGTCTTCATCAGTCTGGCTAACACTGTTCACCCCACTCTGTTGATTCCCTGAGACTTTACCCCGTACAACTTTCAGACACACCGAAGCCATTTCCAGTGGCTTTTCCATACAAATAGCCTGTTTGGGCTCATGCTGCAGATTCTCCTAAAATTTCTCAAAGGTTCATAAACCCCAAACAAGCAGTAGTCTGTCCTTGGCCTGCTCTGAACCTCTTGCTAAGTGGCCCAGGCTAAGCACTAGCAGCACCAGCTGGCCTCGGTTCATAACTTGGTCTCTCCCAGGTACCTTGAAGCCCAACAAGTAGCAGCCATCTGCAGATCGCTCTGTTAGCTCATGCCAGGTGACCCCAGGCAAGGCCCAGCGGCACCTAATCTTGGCCTGCACCTCCTAGGAGGCCTCAGGGACAGTGTAATGAGTAGATAGCTTTAGACCAGGCCAAAGCACCACTCAACTACTCCATGAGTGACACACTTAAGGAGCGGTATCAATGGGCACCAGAGTCTTGCTGAAGTGAGTTTTCCTCCATAGGTTTGGCCCCTGCACAGCAACTCCTGCACTGTAGTCACAGCCATTCTTGCAGCCAATCGGCCTTGAGGTAAATCCCTCCCTTTAACATGCCAACAGCAATCAGGCTCAATTACAACAGGAGGGTGCATATAGCCCATAGGGAGGGGTGAACCTAGAGCCCCCAGCTTGGGTAACCAGGGAGACTGTGCCATTGGACCCTACAGGACACATACTACATAAGGCCACTCTCCCAAGACTGGGAGACATAGCAGCTCTATCCAATACATAGCAACAAACACAGACAGCCAAAATGATGAGAGAAAGAAACATGTCCCAAAACTCCAGAAAAAGAACTAAACAAAATAGAGATACTCAATCTACCAGATCCAGAGTTAAAAATCACTGGTTATAAGAATGCTCAATGAGCCCTAGCTAGTTTTTCTCAGTGGATAGAGCATCAGCCTGTAGACCAAGGGGTCCCAGGTTTGATTGTGGTCAAGGGCCCATGCCCGGATTGCGGGCTCGATCCCAAGTAGGAGGTATGCAGGAAGCAGCCGATCAATGATTCTCATCATTGATGTTTCTGTCTCTCCCTCTCCCTTCCTCTCTGAAATCAATAAAAATAAAAAATACTTTTCAAAAAAGAATGCTCAATGAATGTAGGGGAAGAGTAGATGAACTTAGAACTTCAACAAATAGATAGGAAACATAAAAATGGAGATTGAAAACAAAAAAGAACCAGTCAGAAAAGAATATAATTTCTGAAATGAAGACTACAGTACATGGAATCAACAGGAGGGTAGATGAAGCAGAGAATCAAATTAGTGATTTGGAAGATAAGGAAGCACAATACATCTGATCAGAATAGCAAAAAGAAAAAAGAATCCCAAACAATTAGGATAGTTTAAGGAGCCTCTGGGGCTTCAAATGTACCAACAATTCACCTCAGGGGCATGCCAAAAAGAGAAGAGAAATGTTGGGCCTCAATTACAACATGACAACTGGCCTCTACAAAGTACACAGTGGAAATTAGCTGCTGCACTTGCACCTATATAATGGTATAGTTTCAATTATAGCTCAAATAGTTCCATTTTTGCTTTACGAGGAACTCTCAATAAGACAGTGTTTGCTACTACCTGTGTGTTTGATCCGTTTGTGCTCCTATCAGGCCCCACGTTGGGCGCCAGATGTCATAAGTGTTTCCCTCCACATCCTGCGTGGTTTAGGTTTCGGGTCTGGAAGAGGAGCCGCACAACAAATGAAAAAGAAAAGACACGAGATAATTTGGGAATATTGGGGGACCAGGCAAGCAAGTCCAACTCAAGAGGAAGGACTTCCACTGTGCTCAGGCCTCACCAAGCTTTTTATAGTGAGAGGTAAACAAGGTAGTGGTTACCATAGTTACACAGTTCTTGTGAGTTTCACTTGTTTTGACCATGGTTACACTTCCTGCATTTCCTCAGCCCGTTAGCTTCCCAGATAAGATCTAGGGAGTGTTATAAGGTCAAGCCTAATTATGCTAAGAGGACTGTGCCCTCTAAGCTGGGACTTGTTTGTGACTTTGCCAACAGGTCAGTCCGAGGCTTAACCCTATATCAGTTTCCCACAGAGAAAGATCAAGGAATTGAAAGCCTATTTGAAAAAATGATTCCCTAACTGGTAAAGGGAATAGACATTTAAGTTCAGAAAGCACAGTAGCCCAAACAAGATGAACCCAAAGAGGCCCACAGCAGGACATCATAATTAAAATACCAAAGATAAAAGATAAAGAGAATCTTTAAAGCAGTTATCCACAAGGGAGTACCCATAGACTGTCAGCTGATTTCTAAATAGAAACTTTGCAGGCCCAGAGATTGTCACAAAATATTCAAAGTCATGAAAAGCAAGGATCTACATGCTTGCATCGTGGTTGTGTATCAACCCATGAACCAAGAGGTCACACGGGTTCAATTCCCAGTAAGGGCACATGTCCTGGTTGCAGGCTCGATCCCCAGTGGGGGCTAGCAGGAAGCAGCCAATTGATGTTTCTCTCTCATCAATATTTCTAACTATCCCTCTCTGTTCCTTTCTCTTTAAAAAAATCAATAAAAACATTTAAAAAAAAAATCTAGGACCTACAACCAAGATTATCCAACAAAGTTATCATTTGGAGTGGAAGGGCAGATTAAGAGATTCTCCAACAAAAAAAAAAAGCTAAAGGAGTTCACCACCACCAAACCAGTATTACAAGAATGTTAAAAGGTCTTTTTTAAGAAGAAAAAATTCTAAAATATGAATAATAGAATGGCAATAAATACATAGCAATAATTAATACCAACAATTACTTTAATGCAGATAGATTAAATTCTTCAATCAAAAAATATGGAGACTGAATGGATAATAAAACAAGACCATTTCATATGCTATCTAAAAATGTAAATATTAAAATCACATTAAAATTCTAATGATAATCAGTATTAATACTTTTGTGTATATACTTACATTGTCCTAGATATTTACTCTTTTTTTGTTTTATTAATCCTCACCTGCGGATATTTTTTAGAAGGTGGGGGGGAGGGGAGAGAGAAACATTGATGTAAGAGAAACATATTAATCAGTTGCCTCCTGCATGTGCCCCGACCCAGGGCTAGGGATTGAACCTGCAACCCAGGTATGTGCCCTTGATCGGGAATTGGACCCTCTACCCTTTGGTGCACAGGCCGATGCTCTAACAACTGTGCAACACCAGCCAATTTAATTTTGTTTTTCTCATCACCATTTATGCCCTCTTCCTCTTCCATCCACCCTCCTTTCCCCAGCAGTCACCTCACTGCTGTTCATGTCCATGAGTTCTCTTCTTTTTCTTCTTCTTTGCTCAATCCCTCCATAGATATTTACTCTTACTAAAATGTAATTATAGTATATAAAAACAAAATTCCTTCTAAATATATTATTCATTTTCCCCTTTTGAGCTATTAGGAAGAATAATATGAATTCAAAATAGCAGTGAATTCAAAATAGCAGTAAGCTAGGAACCCAAAACCTGACTTTTACCATTATTGGGCTATTACCCAGTTTTCACCTATCATTGTCTTAATTTTCCATGTATAAAGAAAACATGAAAAACAAATATATGTGAAAGTATTTTGAAGATCTTAAAAACTCTTTCAGAATATTAACTACAACAATCAAGGCTTAACTACAACAAGACTGCGCACAAAGACCATTAGGGGGTGCACCAAGAAAAGATAAAAAAATGCGGAGACAAAGAAACAGGATGCAAATGTCAGAAATGGAAGATATAGAGCTCAAAACCACACTTTTAAGGTCTCTCAAGAACTGTCTAGAAGCTGCCGATAAACTTAGGCCCTTGAAAAGACTGGTGAGACCGCCGATAAATGTGGTGAGATCCTCAAGAAATCTAATGAGACCCTCGATGTCATGATAAAGAACCAACTAGAAATTAAGCATACACTGACTGAAATAAAGAATATTATACAGACACCCGACAGCAGACCAGAGGAGCGCAAGAATCAAGTCAAAGATTCGAAATGCGAAGAAGCAAAAAACACCTAACCGGAAAAGCAAAATGAAAAACGAATACGAAAATACGAAGATAGTGTAAGGAGCCTCTGGGACAGCTTCAAGAGTACCAACATCAGAATTATAGGGCTGCCAGAAGATGAGAGAGAGCAAGATATTGAAAACCTATTTGAAGAAATAATGACAGAAAACTTCCCCCACCTGGTGAAAGAAATAGACTTACAAGTCCAGGAAGCACAGAGAACCCCATACAAAAGGAATCCAAAGAGGACCACACCAAGACACATCATAATTAAAATGCCAAGAGCAAAAGACAAAGAGAATCTTAAAAGCAGCAAGAGAAAGGAACTCAGTTACCTACAAGGGAATACCCATACGACTGTCAGCTGATTTCTCAACAGAAACTTTGCAGGCCAGAAGGGAATGGCAAGAAATATTCAAAGTGATGAATACCAAGAACCTACAACCAAGATTACTTTACCCAGCAAAGCTATCATTCAGAACGGAAGGTCAGATAAAGAGCTTCACAGATAAAGAAAAGCTAAAGGAGTTCATCACCACCAAACCAGGATTATATGAAATGCTGAAAGGTATCCTTTAAGAAGAGGAAGAAGAAGAAAAAGGTAAAGATACAAATTATGAACAACATGCATCTATCAACAAGTGAATCTAAGAATCAAGTGAATAAATAATCTGGTGATCATAATAGAATCAGGGACATAGAAAGGGAATGGACTGACTATTCTTGGGGGGGAAAAGGGTGTGGGAGATGCAGGAAGAGACTGGACAAAAATCGTGCACCTATGGATGAGGACAGTGGGTGGGGAGTGAGGGCGGAGGGTGGGGCGGGAAATGGGAGGGGGGGAGTTATGGGGGGAAAAAAGAGGAACAAATGTAATAATGTGAACAATAAAGATTTAATTTAAAAACAAAAAAAACAAAAACAAAAAAAACTCTTTCAGCCCTGACTGGTGTGGTTTAGTTGGTTGAGCGTTTTCCCATGCACTGAGATGTCCCCAGTTCAATTGCTGGTCAGGGTACATACCCAGGCTCCATTCCCAATAAGGGGCTTGCAGGAAGCAGCTGATCAGTATTTCTCTCTCTTAGATGTTTCTCTCTCTCCCTCTCCCTTCCTCCCTAAAATTATAAAATCAATAAAAACATTAGCCAAAGAAATTATATGCATAATTCAAGGACACAGACAAGTGTGGTAAAGGCTTGGGGTGGGAGAAGGTGCAGGCTAGAAGGGATCAATGGGCAATAAAGGGTACATCTGTATAACTTTCAACAACAATGATACATTTTTTTAAAAAAACCTACTTCAGTGATATCCTTGATTTTGTGTCATTAATAACAGAGCTATTCGTGCATGCAAGCCCACCCAGTCTAGAACTGATGGCTTGAGAGTGCGTTATCTTCTCAATTTTCTTGTTACCAGGTTATTGAGGTGGTGATCCGCTCAGAGGAGGGACTTTCCAGGGACATGGTGAAACACCTGAACAGCATTGAAGAACAGATTTTGGAGAGTTTAGCATGGAATCATGATTCTGCACTGTGGGAGGCTCTCCAGGCTTCTGCAAACAAGGTTCCTACTTGTGAAGAAGTGAGTCAGGGCAAGGCTAATAATCCTGTCATTTTATAAAATAACTAGAGGCCTGATGCATGAAATTCATGCAAGAGGGGGCCTTCCTTCCCCCAGCTGCCGGCACCAGCTTCCTTCTGGCACCCAGGACCTGGGCTTCCTTCCAGCCACCGGCAGGCACCTGGGACCTGGGCTTCCCTCACAGCCTCGGCTTCGTCCAGAAGGATGTCTGGTCTAATTAGCATGTTATGCTTTTATTATTATAGACTAGAGGCCCAGCACATAATTAAATTTTGAGGGTAGGGGCCCTAGGCCTAGCCTCCTCGATCAGGGCCATCTTCTGCCCGTTCACCAGTCCCCAGGCCAAATACTGCCTCCACCGTTGGGCTGCCAGGCCGTTGAGATCATCAGCTCATCCCCAGCTACTCCGGGGCTCAGGCCTGCGGAAAAGTGGGTGCTGGAAACTTCACCTCCATGTCCATGTGCCAGGCTGGCCACTGATGGAACACGCTGCCTGCTCGGGGCTGTTCATGTGGGTGCCACCGCCACTGCCGCTGTGGCTTGAGGCACTGATGGAGGCTGCAGGGCATGCCCGCAACCTACCTGCCCTGGCGTGAGCGACCCCGAGCAGGCAGCACATTCCATCAGCGCCCGGCCCGGCACACGCGCATGGAGGTGAAGTTGCCGGTGCCCACTTTCCCACAGGCATGAGCCCCTGAGCAGCCAGGGATGAGCTGGTGATCCCAATAGCCTGACAGCCAGCCCAGTCTTCCTGCCACCCACCCCAATTCCCCCGTTCACCATCGCTGATCCATCAGAGCCTGCGGGTGGCGGGAGGGACCAACAAGTGGTCAGTGCCACCTCATGGCAACAGTTGTTTGGTTGTTCCGGTCATTAGGGACACTGGCTTATTATATATATAGATAGCTTTATCCTATATAATAAAGAGGTAATATGCAAATTGATCATCACTCCAACACATAAGATGGCCGCCCCCATGTAGTCAAAGATGACCAGTGTTTCTGATCACAAGATGATCACCCCCAAACACAAGATGGCCGGCTGGGGAGGGCAGTTGGGGGCAACCAGGCCTGCAGGGGAGGGCTGTTGGGGGGGACCAGGCCTGCAGGGGAGGGCAGTTGGGGGCGACCAGGCCAGCAGGGGAGGGCAGTTAGGGCCAATCAGGCCAGCAGAGGAGCAGTTAGGAATTGATCAGGCTGGCAGAGGAGTGGTTAGGTGCAATCAGGCAGGCAGGCAGGTGAGCGGTTGGGAGCCAGCAGTCCTGAATTGTGAAAGGGATGACATCCCTTGAGGGGTCCCAGATTGGAGAGGGTGCTGGCTGGGCTGAGGGACACACATCCAACACACACACACACACACACACACACACACACACACACACACACCCCTGCACGAATTTCATGCGCCGGACCTCTAGTTAAGATAAAATTCACATACCATACATTCACCCATATTAAGTGTACAAGCCCATGGTTTTTAGTATGAGCATAGATATATGCAGGCATCACTACAGTAAGTTTTGGAATATATTTGTCACCTCAACAAGAAACCATGCCCTTTAGCTATCACTTCCTTACCCTCTTTCTTCCCCCCCAGTTCTAAGCAACCAGTAATCTACTTTCATTTGCCTATTCTGGACAATTCATATAAATAGAATCATACAATGAATATATCATATTTGTTTGTGAATTGGCTTCTTTCACTTAGCATGTTTTCAAGGTTCATCCATGTTTACCTACCAGCAATTCATTTCTTTTTATGGCTTATTAATAGTCCATTGCATGGATATATCATTTATCAATTGATGTACATTTAGGTTGTTTCCATCTCTTGGCTGTTATGAATACTACTGCTATGAACAGTCATGCACAAGTTTTTGTGTGGACATACATTTTTATTTTTCTTGGGTATATGTGTAGGAGTAGAATTGCTGGGCCATATAGTAACTGTTTAAACTTTTGAACTGTCAGACTATTTTCCAAAGTGGCTACACCATTTAACCTTCTCACCATCAGTGTATGAAGATTTCAGTTTTTTCACATCCTATCTAACCCACTTATCTGTCTTTTTCATTCTAACCATTCTAATAGGCATGAAATGATATGGTTTTTATTTGCATTCTTATGATGGCTAATGATGTCCAATATCTTTTCAGGTGTTTATTAACCATGTTATATCTTCCTTGGAGAAATATCTATTCAGATCCTTTGCCCATTTTTAAATTGGGTTATTTATCTTTTTATTATTGAGTTATAGGAATTCTTTATATATTGAAGATAGAACTCCCATATCCAACATAAGATTTGCAAAACTTTTTCCCATTCTTTTAGTTGTCTTCTTAACTTTCTTGATGAAATCCACTGGAATACAAAAGTTAATTTTGATGATGTCCAGTTTTTTTTCTATTGTTGCTTCTGCTTTTGGTATATCTAATACACCATTAATTTCATCATTTTTAATTTTTCAAATGTCCATGTAAAGAATTAAATACTTCTTGTTAATAGTATTTAGAATAAAAAGCTAAATCTTTGTGACTAATACATACAAATAACACATTTAACATTTTTGTATCATGTGAGAAATTGAGATTTTTCTTCCATCTCTGTTATTCTTTTGTAACTCCTATCTTTTTATTCTTTGCTTTTCTGTGTCTCCTTATTTAATCTTTTCTAAAAAATTAAGCTCTTTATTGTTTAAAGTATTACATGTGTCTCCTTTTTCCCCCATTGACCTCTCTCTGGCCACTTCCCCCCCCCACACACACACACACACATGCCCTCACCCCCCTGCTGTCTTTGTCCATTGGTTATGCTTATATGCATGCATACAAGTCCTTTGGTTGATCTTTTACGCCTCGCCTCCCCCCCCACACCCCCCCACACCCCCCCGCCCGCCCATTCCCCTGCCTTCCCTCTGAGGTTTGATGGTCTTTTCCCTAATCCCAAACTACTGAAGGAACTGTCCAAAACCAGGAAGAACTTAAAAGAAAATGTTTCCTTGAAAATCTCTCTTCCATGTATCTTTTGTCTTTTGCAACACTGTGATTAATGGGGCAATCTTTAGTGTTCATCAATATTTCCATTATAGAATCCATTGGGAAAGTAAAAAGAAAAGTTATGAATTTGAAAGAAATGGATTTGAGTTAATGCTCTTGCTCTATTACTTTGTAGCAGTGTGCCCTTAGGTAATCACATTTTGAGCCTCATTTTTCTCATCCCTAGGTGGAGAGTGATAGTGCCTATCTCACAGGTTTACTTCTAATTGTCAGTAAACTTACATAGATAGATGATAAGATTAAATGTGATTAATTCTACACACAATTTAACAATATTAACTATTGAGCAATTTTGTGAAGAAAAAAGGAAAGAGAAATTACATAGTTAAAGAAGTTAAGATCTTTCTCATTTTTTCTGTTACAAGTTTTCATCAGTAGGTTTATCTGTATGTAAAGCAAACGGCTTTTGTTTTCAACAGGTTATATTTCCAAATAACTTTGAAACAGGAAATGGGGGAAATGTACAGGGTCATCTTCCCATGATGCCAATGTCTCCTCTAATGCATCCAAGGGTCAAAGAAGTTCGGACAGACAGTGGAAGTCTTCGAAGGGGTAGGTTCAACATTAGTAAAACAATGAAAAATAACAAATAATTTTTTTCAGAGAAAATGTCAAGTCTTATTAATATATTTTTTATTTTTTCATCAGGATTTTAAAGAAGGATTAATGCTTACATCAACCTCGTAGTGTGGCTCTTTCTATACTTTTTAAAGTAATAAGATTTCCAATCTGATTTTGAATATAATTATTTTTCATAATTCAGTGTCAATTATTGTGAAAATATATCTTGGCCTTTTAATAAACACACACCTTTTCTAAATGATGGTGGAAAACTATTTCTTTATAAGCTAACTACCTAATTTTTAAGTGTGACAAAAGTTATATTCTCTCTCTGTCTATGCATGTCTCTTTGAGAGAGAAATATTTAAAGCAGAGCAGAGAACTCATTGGGAAGCTAAAGTTTATCTAATGACTGACTTATTTATACTAAGCTCTTAAAATAGTTCATTTGAACCTTACTAATAGGAAGATTTTAGTGCATTTTTCCTTATTTTTTCTTGTGATATAGCATACTGATGTGTACATTTTCTGGATTATGTAGCTCTTGCTTTATTTTTTCTTAAATCAGTTAAGAAAATCTTTTGACTACAGAATATCTCTGAACAAACCTCAGATGAACAAAGTATTCAGTGTATAGTAAAATAGCTCAAGATCCATTTTTGAAGTATAGTTTTTTATATGTGTGTGGATGCATGCATTCATGCATGTGCTTTGCTATACATGTAGTGCAAGTTTATAAAAATGTGCAAGCTGTGCATATAAAATAATACTCATAAACAAGAGGAATAACTAGAATTTTTTTTAAAATATATTTTATTGATTTTTTACAGAGAGGAAGGGAGAGAGATAGTCAGAAAAATCGATGAGAGAGAAACATCGATCAGCTGCCTCCTGCATGCCCCTTACTGGGGATGTGCCCACAACCAAGGTACATGCCCTTGACCGGAATCGAACCTGGGACCCTTGGGTCCACAGGCCAACGCTCTATCCACTGAGCCAAACTGGTCGGGGCAAGGATTGTTTTATAAGTTCTCTATCAATTATTTGATTAGAGAAATGAACAAGTAAAAAATATTTACTTAGTATGGTATAATTTAAAATATTAAAAACATTGAGAATAAAAGTGTTTTATTTGTCTTTTTTTTAAACTTACAGAAAATAATTTAAACAGTGTTTGCTCCCTTCTCCTACTGAGTAGAGCATCTATTTTGTGTCTTTTAAACTCATATTGGATCAGTTTTCAACATTTTATTTACTTATTTACTTTTGAGAATTTTTGTAATAGTTTATTTGAGCTGAAACTGAAGACAGTGCCAAGAAGCAAGATATCAAATGCTCCCAGCTTTCAACATTTTATTCTTTGTGCTTTCAAAGCTGTGAAATATCTGAGTTTCTCTGATGTTAAATTTTTGCCATCATTACTTCCTGTTGGGTATCATCTTTTTTGTCACAAAAACATTTCTTTTATACCCATAAGTTTCATCTTTACAAAGTACTTCTAGCTATATACGTAAATCTCTTGAACAGTGGCAGTGTCAACAATATTCCCAGAGTCAGCTTTTCTTCTATAACTTTATTGACACTCTTATTTTATTTTTATTTATTTTATTTATTTTTTTTTTTACTTTTGGCACCTTGCTGTTTTATTCTATTATTATTTTTTAATTGTTTTATTGCATAAAGTATTACAAAAAGTATTACATATGTCTCCTTTTTTCCCCGCCCTTAACAATCCCCCGGCCTCCCCTACCCACCAGTGTCTCATGTCCATTGGTTATGCTTGTATGCATGCATACAAGTCCTTCGGTTGATCTCTTACCGCCCCCCTCCCGCCCTTCAACCCTCCCCGGCTTTCCCGCTGTACTTTGACAGTCTGTTCAAGGCAGCTCTGCCTCTGTATCTATTTTTGTTCATAAGTTTATAATGGTCTTTATTATCCATGAGTGAGTGAGATCATGTGGTGTTTTTCCTTCATTGACTGGCTTATTTCACTTAGCATAATGCTCTCCAGTTCCATCCATGCCGTTGCAAATGGTAAGAGTTCCTTCTTTTTTACAGCAGCATAGTATTCCATCGTGTAGATGTACCACAGTTTTCTAATCCATTCATCTACTGATAGGCACTTAGGCTGTTTCCAGATCTTAGCTATGATGAATTGTGCTGCGATGAACATATGGGTGCATATATCCTTTCTGATTGGTGTTTCTGGTTTCTTGGGATATATTCCTAGAAGTGGGATCACAGGGTCAAATGGGAGTTCCATTTGTAGTTTTTTGAGGAAACTCCATACTGTCTTCCATAGTGGCTGCACCAGTCTGCATTCCCACCAGCAGTGCACGAGTGTTCCGTTTTCTCCACATCCTCTCCAGCACTTGTCGTTTGTGGATTTGTTGATGATAGCCATTGTGACAGGTGTGAGATGGTACCTCTTTATTGTTTTGATTTGCATCTCTCGGATGATTAGTGACTTTGAGCAAGTTTTCGTATGTCTCTTGGCTTTCTGAATGTCCTCTTTTGAAAGGTATCTATTTAGGTCCTTTGTCCATTTTTTGATTGGATTGTTTATCTTCCTTTTGTTAAGTTGTATGAGTTCCCTATTAATTTTGGATATTAGGCCCTTATCAGATATAACATTGGTAAATATGTTTTCCCATGCAGTGGGCTTTCTTGTTGTTTTGTTGATGGTTTCTTTTGCTGTGCAGAAGCTTTTTATTTTGATGTAGTCCCATTTGTTTATTTTCTCTTTAGTTTCCAATGCCCTAGGAGCTGTATCGGTGAAGAAATTGCTTCGGCATGTGTCTGAGATTTTGTTGCCTTTGGATTCTTCTAGTATTTTTATGGTTTCCCGTCGTACATTTAAGTCTTTTATCCATTTTGGTTTATTTTTGTGTATGGTGTAAGTTGGTGGTCTAGTTTCATTTTCTTGCATGTATCCGTCCAATTTTCCCTGCACAATTTATTGAAGAGACTATCTTGACTCCATTGTATGTTCTTGCCTCCTTTGTCAAATATTAATTGAGCATATTGGTTCGGGCCAATTTCTGGACTCTCTGTTCTATTCCATTGATCTATATGTCTGTTCTTGTGCCAATACCAGGCAGTTTTGAGAACAGTGGCTTTGTAATACAGCTTGATATCTGGTATTGAGATCACACCTACTTTGTTCTTTCTCAGGATCACTGCAGCTATTCGGGGTCTTTTTTTATTCCAGATGAATTTTTGGAGAGTTCTTTCTCGGCCTGTGAAATATGCCGTTGGTATTTTAAAGGAAAGTGCGTTGAATTTTTAGATTGCTTTGGGTAGTATGGTCATTTTAATGATGTTGATTCTACCAATCCAAGAACATGGTATGTTCTTCCATCTGTTTATGTCTTCCTCTATCTCTTTTTTCAACGTCCTGTAGTTTTCTGAGTAGAGGTCTTTTACCTCCTTAGTTAAGTTTATTCCTAGGTAGCTTAATTTTTTTGGTGCAATGGTAAATGGGATTGTTTTTTTAGTCTCTCTTTCTGTAAGTTCACTATTAGTGTATAGAAATGCCATAGATTTCTTGGCGTTAATTTTGTATCCTGCTACATTGCCGAATTCATTTATTAAGTCTAATAGTTTTTTGATGGAGTCTTTAGGGTTTTTTATGTATAATATGTCATCTGCAAATAAGGACAGTTTTACTTCTTCTTTTCCAATTTGAATGCCTTTTATTTCTTCTTCTTGTCTAATTGCAATGGCTAATACTTCCAGTACTATGTTGAACAGGAGTGGTGAGAGTGGGCATCCCTGTCTTGTTCCTTCCTGTTCTTAGGGGAAATGGTGTTAGTTTTTGTCCATTGAGTATGATGCTGGCTGTGGGCTTGTCATATATGGCTTTTATTATGTTGAGGTATGATCCTTCTATTCCCACCTTGCTGAGAGTTTTTATCAAAAATGGGTGTTGGATTTTGTCAAATGCTTTTTCTGCATCAATTGATATGACTATGTGGTTTTTTTCTTTCAATTTGTTTATGAGAGGTATCACGTTTATTGATTTGCAGATATTTTACCATCCTGCATCCCTGGGATAAATCCTACTTGGTCATGGTGTATGATCTTTCTGATGTACTGCTGGATCCGATTTGCTAAGATTTTGGCATCTATGTTCATGAGGGATATTGTCCTGTAATTCTCTTTCTTCGCGTTGTCTTTACCTGGTTTTGGTATTAGGGTGATGCTGGCTTCATAGAATGAGCTTGGAAGTGTTCCTTCCTCTTGGATTTTTTGTAGTAGTCTGAGGAGGATAGGTTTTAGTTCTTCCTCGAATGTTTGGTAAAACTCCCCTGTGAAGCCGTCTGGTCCTGGGCTTTTGTTTGCTGGAAGCATTTTGATGACTGCTTCAATTTCTTCCATAGTTATTGGCCTGTTGAGATTTTTAGATTCTTCCTGATTGAGTTTTGGAATGTTGTATTTTTCTAGGAATATGTCCATTTACTCCAGGTTGTCTAATTTGTTGGAATAGAGTTGTCCATAGTATTGTTTAACAATCATTTGTATTTCTGTGGGGTCTGTTGTTATTTCGCCTTTATCATTTCTGTTTTTGTTTATTTGGGTCCTCTCTCTTTGCTTCTTGGTAAGCCTGGCTAGAGGTTTGTCAATCTTGTTTATCCTTTCAAAGAACCAGCTCTTGGTTTCATTGATTTTCTGTATTGTTTTTTTGGTCTCTATGTCATTTATTTCTGCTCTAATCTTTGTTATCTCCTTCCTTCTGCTCACTCTGGGCTTTTCTTGTTGCTCTCTTTCTAATTCTTTGAGTTGTAGAGTTAGATGATTTACTATCATTTTTTCTTGATTTTTGAGATAGGCCTATAGAGCTATAAACTTCCCTCTCAGGATTGCTTTCTTTGTGTCCCATAGGTTTTGGATTGTTGTGTTTTCATTGTCATTAGTTTCCAGGATGTTTTTAATTTCTTCTCTGATCTCATTGGTAACCCAATCAATATTTAATAACATGCTATTCAGCT